TGCCAGGCTTGTCTAGTGCATAGGCCCAGAGTCTCAGTGTCACCAGCCAGGAGGAGCACTAACCTTGGCTTGTCCCTGCCCCTCACCTCTCTATTTTTTAATAGATGGAAACATTTCCAGACACTCTCCTAAGCACTTTACAAATGTCAGTCTTTGAGTCTCTCTCTCTCTCTCTAACTCTCTCTCTCTCTCTCTCTCTCTCTCTCTCTCTCACACACACACACACACACACACACACACACACACACACACACACAATCACTAGAGTATTCCTGGTATTGGAGGGACAGGTACAAAGAGGTCAAGTAATTTTCCCAAGGGTATACATCTAGGAAAAGCAAAGGAAGGGTCCCCTGGCTTCCTTCCCTTTTCTCTTCTCTCCACCCACCCCCACTGTCTCCATTCCCATTCCTTTCTCCCACTCTCATCCTTAGCTCTTGGGCTCTCTAGCATGAACACAAGCATAAAGGAATGAAAGAACAGTAACTGTCTCCCACGGGCTTCTGATTTCCAAGACGGGTTACACAGGCCTGAGGAGCCTGTGAAGGGTTCAGCAGGAAAGAGAAGTGATCCCCATTTTCACCCATTGTCTGATTCCACAGCACCAACATCTAAGATGAGTTGACTCGGAGTCAACATGAAGACCAATAGCTGGGCAGGGCTGCTCACCACCATCCAGGGTTCAGTGACACACTGTGCCTTTGCTCACAGAAGCTGCAGACTAGGGCTCCGCAGACTGATAAGCCAGCCATGGCCTTGATGCTGTAAAGTGAGATGGCCTTGGTCAAATCACTTCACCTCCCTGTGCCTCTATTCCCCAATCTGTAAAGAAAGGTAATAGAAACATCTCTACCCCAGGCCATGCGGGCAGGAAGACTCCTCATGTAAATAAACTTAACCATGCCCACTGCCCACGACCTGTGAGTGGGTGACTTGGCATGAAAAAGTAGCTATGTTTAGCACCATGCTGAGAGGGGGATGCCACATTTGCCCAGGCAAAGTGGAGAATGTCTCCCTGCTTTGATTGGAAGACATGGGCACATAAGAATGGCCAGAAAGAGACAATAAATATTGGGGTGTGAACACATGCCAGGGGGTGCAGATGCCTCCCCTGAAGCCTGAATGGGCAGGTTGATGGATTCTACCTGGGCCCTACAGCAGAAACACCACTCCAGCGATGTCATGACTATTTCTTAAAGATTCTTCATTGCTTTTGAAGATTATGAAGGGTTCTCCTTTATTGTATTTTGTTTTCCTGAAAGAAGGTTGCACTATGTAGCTAGGCTGGCCTCTAATTCTTGGCCCTCTCATGGTCCTTTGCTGTGCAGGCTACAGCAGCCTGATGCCAGGTGGGTGGAAGATATACAACCCCCAATGGCTTCTGCTGTCACTAGAAGGTCCTACTGGCTCCTCTAGAATTGACCTCCTGTAGCCAACCCCTCTCCCTTCCTCACTGCCCCAGACAGGGTACTCTGGTGTGAAGTGACTAGTGACATTTTCCCTGCAAGTCTGATAGTATCTTGATGACAGAGCCCAGTAGTTCACACATCTTTGTCTTCCTACACCTAGCACAACATCCCAGAGTCTGGGACATGTGCTACAAGGAAGTAGCCTCAAGCCCTTTGAAGCTACCAGTTCTACTTTCACACATCCCTCTTGGGTGCCTCTCGAGCGCCACTTGGGGGTGAGTTCAGCAGAAGAGCATAGGTAGTGCAGCACCACTGTCTTCCTATGTGTTTTCAGTGAGCATTTGAAGAAACGATTTCTCCAACAGGTTAAAAGGGGGTTGCCTCACCTTGGTGCCAAGTGAACATTCAGAAGGGTCGTGGTTCTTGGTTCCCATTCCCTCACTGAACTGTCATAGGCAGGATCGGCATGGACTCTCTGCCCAAGCCACAGGCTCACCCTGCAGAGGCATCCTATAGCCAGGGTCCACATATGCAGCCTAGTCTACCTGGCTTCTTGCACACCCTGAAAAGCCATCCATCAGAAAGGAGAGTTGCCTCTAGCTGTTAGAATCTGCTGGAGAACTCCTGCTGAGGCCCACTGAGCTGCCAGTCACTGTGACCAGTGAAGAACTTGTGGTGCATAAAACAGTATATGTAGCATAGTCCCCAAATGGTGCTCACCAGTCAACTCAGGAGTGAGTCAGTTAACAGCCAAGGCTCACAGTGACTGGCTGCCCATGACTCAGTCACCCCATAGATATCACATATGGATTTTTCTTTATGGTCCAAACTGACAAGTGAGTCACCTTTGAAATACAACTTCAAAGGAAAGATCCCAACATGGTGACTTTTCTGGACAATTTATAGTCAAGCTTTCTAGAAATCTTACCATTAGGACATCAAAACATGTTCCAAGGTACTGGGTCCATGTGAATCTGCACAAGTTTGTCCTTTAATTGAGTTCAGTGAAGACCCTGGTGGGCATTGACAATCTACACCCTGACTCAGTCCTCTCTTGGAAATTGAAGGAGTTGCCCAAATATTCTGATATTCAGCCAAAGTGGACTGGAAGGAAACTGTATATGCTCCAACCTCAAGCCAGGTAAAGATTATGGTGCAACCAGCCACAGAGCAATGACATGGTCCAGGGCAGGGATGAAGTTGTGGCTGCTGGCAGTCAGGCCCATCTATAGGAAACTGGTCTGGATATCTAGTCACCACCCAGCTTGTCCCTGGGCCAAGCTATCCAAGGTGGTAGCCTGCATGCCCATGTTCACTTACACATAAATAAGCAAAAGAAGTCTGCTCTACAGACCTTAGTGTAGAAGGTAACAGTCCACTCTACTTGCAGGGGTGGAGCTTCTCCTGCATGGAGGGGCCACATGTGGCCCACTGAAAAGAAGAAACCTATTCCTAGTACCCTCTCCACACAGGACACATCTTGGGTTGCCACTGCTCATTCTAAATGACTGGGGTGATTTGAATAGGAATGGCACCCATAGGTGAGGCCTTCTTAGAGTAAGTGTGTTACTGTGGGGGCAGACTTTGAGGTCTCATGCTCAAGCTACACCCAGTGTGGCTCACAGTCTCCTTCTGCTGCCTGTGGATCAAGATATAGAACTCTTAGCTCCTTCTCCAGCACCATGCCTGCGCACTGCCATGCTTCCTGCCATACCGCTAATGGACTAAAGACCTGAATTATAAGCCAGGCCCAATTAAACGTTTTCCTTTTATATGAGTTGCCGTGGTTATGGTGTCTCTTCACAGTGATAAAACCCCTGACTACAACAGTGACTGAACTCCAGGAGCCCTGTTCCTCAGTCCTGAGTCTTGGTGAGCTCTTGGTGCTCTTGATGGACTTGCCTCAATGGAGGTTTATAAAATGGGAGGGTGAAGAAGCAGGAGGTGGAGAAGGAGCTGATTCGGTCTCAGAGAATGTCCTTAGCCATATAAGAGTGTGGTAGGCTGAGCTAGTTCCTAGACCCTTACATGACAAATGGCCTTGGTAGATGTGACTAAATTAAGGACCTTGAGTTGGGAGACCACTGTGGGTTTTCTGGATGGCTCACTGGCATCACAAGATGAAGGGCCAGAGTAATGAGGCTACTGTCTCTAATGAGGACTAAAGCTAAGAACACAATGTCCTGGTTGGCAGCCCGTGCTGAGAACCAGCCTAATAGAGAGTCCTTGCCAGTATCATCCCCAGTTGCTTTCAGGTCCTCAAGGGTCCTGAAGGGCCTGCAACTGACTGGATGTTTACTATCCTGTAGCTGGAGATGTGCCTTCTTCCCATTTGATTCCGAATGGTCCCAGGTGGCTATGACCTGCAATTATCCATGGAGTAGTGACTCCTTAGTGCCCATATGTCACATCAGGTGAATTAAACCAGGCCAAGATAAGCAACATGGTGAGTATAGCAGTTTTCAAGCTCCCTCAGCAGCACAAAGTGCAGACAAGGAGGGGGGATGTCTCCACTCACTAGCAGGAAGGTGTGGATGAGGCCAGATGCTGGGACAGTTGTCTGAGTACACTGTGCCCAGATGTGGGTCTTCCTTCTCCAGTCTCACCCAGTCCTATGCATTTTCAGTAGAGGCCATCCATATCCACGACAAGTAGGCATAGTAAAAGAAAACTCTTTGAGACAGTCTGGTCTACCATCAAGCATGTGAATGAGTATCATGACAGCAATGATTGGAACCAGGGAAAATACTGGATCAGAACAGTAGTCAGCAGGCATGACCAACCTAGATGCCAACATCTTCTGTGTGTGCATGTGTGTCTATGTGTATGTAGGTTTGTGTGCACACATCATGTGTATGTAGAGCACAATCTTGAGTCTACCTTGGTTGAGACAGGGTCTCTCGTCTCTCCTTGACCAGAAACTAGCCAATAAGCTAGGCTGGCTAACTAGTGAGCTGTCTCTCTACCACTGGGATTACAGGTACATGTCTCAATGTCTCATTTCGATGTAGATGCTGGGGTGCAGAACTTGGGTCCTCAGATTTGTATGGCAAGCACTGTTATAACTGAGCCAGCTCTCCAGAGTCCCCAAAACCATTTTTTTTAAATTTTATAATTGTGTGTTTGTGTGTGTGCATGTGTGCTCATGTGCATGTGTACTCATGTGTGCACACATGAATGTGTGCACACACAGAAAGCCTCCTTCCACTTTAACCTGAGTTCCAGGAATTAAACTCAGTGTGACAGGCTTGTGCAGTGAGTTCTTCTACCCTCTGAAGCCTCTTACTGGTTTAAAGACCACAGCCAAGCCTGCCTGTGTCTTCAGTGTCTCTGATGCACTCACACAACACAGATGATGGATGCTAAATGTTCCTACTGGAAGGGCACAGCCTACTGAGCCAAGCACGCAGGCTCTCTGGTGCTTCACAGGAAGCTACCCAGGTGAAATAAGGCCAACATACAGGAAGATTACCCTCCCCTTGGGTGGCTATTTCCTCCTCTGTTTTTCATAACATTACAGCTTTTCTGTGTTGAGTACAGTCTCCAAGGATAGACCAGGTGGCAGCAGTGACATGGCCCCCAGATGCATACCTTGTTTCCGATGGCCTTTTTGGGTGGGAAGTTGTAGGCCCTTACTTGTGGGAATGTGCTCTGCAGCTGCTGATGCAATGCCCGGAACTCAGTGTAACGCCGATACACATTCCACTCATCGTCCTTTATCCGGATATAGACCTGCCAATGAGGGAGAGATGAAGACAGGCTGAGACCGAGCTTCTAATGTCATCCTCACAAGGGCAGGTGCCGTATCACTCTGTTCACACAGGGTCCACATCTGCCTCACACCACTGGACACAAAGCACCTGGCACAAAATGGTGGCACTGATGTCAACAATGGGCACAGGAGAAAGTCAGTGAGTTAAGTGACAGGAGAGCCAAGCTTCATATCATGAACCCACCAGTTTGAGTGACAGCAGGGACACATCTCCCTGTTCACACATAAAGCTCTTACAAGCTGCCCCATGGACACCAATTCCATAAATCCCACAGGACTGAGGTCACACTGATCACCACATAGTAGGCCAGCACACACCAAGGGAGCTGAATTTGGACAAAAAAGGAGTGAAGTCAAAATCTTCTAGACTGCTGAGGGGCCCAGGATAACAGAAGGTCATACCTAGGGACCTTAAGCACATGCAGGGACATAACTTTATCTCAGCCAAGTTGGGGCACTGCCAGAACATAAGACAGCTACTTGGCAAGGAACTCTAAGAAATGGGAGGTGCTCTCTCTCCTCTCTCTCTCTCTCTCTCTCTCTCTCTCTCTAAAGGTTTCTCCGTTTGTACTTGGTTGGCCTTGAACTTGCTGTGTAGACCAGGCCAACTTCCAACTCACAAAGATCCTACTGTTTTGTCTGCTGAATGCTGGTATTAAAGGTGTGTACCACTGCTCCCAAACAGTCTATTTTAAAACATCATTCCACCTAAGAATCATAGAGAGGGTAAAGTCTCCATGATAACTACTGAACTTCATATGAAGCAAGGGTCCCTACATCTTCAAGAACAGACCAATAGGAACAAACATCTCTACTGTGAGTCGTCGCAGTCTCACTCCATTCTTCATAATATATATTTACTACCCAACTCTCTTTTTTACTCGGAGGAAGCAAGAGCATGCTTACTATTCCCCCTGCTCTCCCTGAGCCTTCTACAAGGATGCTTGGCAGTCCCTCCGCCCCCACAGGCAGCCACACCCAGTTCTATAGGCCCTGTGTGTTTGCCCAGGACTCTCTAATCTGTCGCTAGTACAGACCTCATATGTGAACTGCAGCTCTGGTGTGTATCCTCAAAGTCTTTAAATCTGAACCCAGATCCTAAGCCATAAGCCTGGTCCTCCTCCTAGGCTTTTATTGATTCATCTCCAAGAGCAAAGACAATAGCAAAACATGATGTATTTGTTGCTCATGTTGCTGCAAGCTGCCTAGCCAAGTCAGCAGCAGTCTGCAGGAACACAAGGCCTAATGGCTGAGCCTCGGAGCAGAGTAGGCCCTGGGGCCCCTGTTGTAACCACACTTCTGCCTTTGCTGGTATTCAGGGTCCATTTCTGGCAGCCACTGTTGCTAAAGCTCGAGGACAGTGATAGCCAGGGGAACAGGAAGAGTGCCAAGTCTGCATGATAGGCTCACCTCAGCAGCTCACACAGATGTGGGTAGAGCTCTCAGGTCTAAAATGAGCCTCTGAACTCAGCAGGTGGGAGGCCCAAGGTTGAAGAGAAATGACAAACCACAACCAAACACGAGACCTTCAGCACTCAGCACCTGTCATGAGCTGGGCATTATTCCAGGTACACACCTCTCCTCTTATCCTCACACTAAGATGCAAGGCATATGGTGGGAACATAGCCTCTCAAGATGAAGACATGGACTCAGAAAGGCAATGTCACTTGCCTAGAAAATGGAGAAATAAAGAATTTGAACTCAGAGCTGTCTTCTCCCCAGTGTCCCAAGTTTTCTACCCCAATGTTCCACTGCAATGGCTAGGGATCCCAGACCAGCATTGTGGCATTTAATGTGACCTTAAGTGTTCTCCTTGCCAGAAAAGCCCCTGATTTCATATTCTCATTAACACTTCTCCCCTAGGATCTAAGGATCTACTATGACAGAATCCAAACTCTCCAGATTATTAACAGACAATCCCCAACAACCTGCTTGGCATCCAAGCCCAGGAAACCCGAGGTACAGATGATTTGCTCATGAATTATGCACCACAGGATTAAGCATGCATATGCTGTATAACTGTTAGGGTCATTCATTCATTCATTCATTCATTCATTCACTCATCCATTCATTTCAAAAGGTTCCTCCACCCAAATTAAGTCTGACTGGCCCACTTTCCTCAACTTGAGCCATGAAGACAAAACTCTTTGGAGGAAATGAAAAGCCAATCTCTTCCATATTTTAAACAAGCTCTATTTTAAACAAGAGATAAAACCACACATCTTCTGGTCCCAATAGAAGGACATAAAATCAGTGGGTGCTGCTGGGGTCAGCACTAGGGCTCACTATCTCCTGCCTACAGGACTGCTGTTGTATAATAATCTTTTTTGTAAACTGTGAAAATGTGTTTAATAAAGAGCTGAATGGCAGGCTGGAGAGATGGCTCAGTGGTTAAGAACACTGGCTGGTCTTCCAGAGGTCCTGAGTTCAATTTCCAGCAACCACATGATGGTTTACAACCATCTATAATGAGATCTGGTGCCCTCTTCTGGCATGTAGAGATAATGCAGACAGAACACTGTATACATGATAAATAAATAAATCTTTAAAAAAAAAAAGGTGAATGGCAAATAGCTAAGCAGGATTTCCAGGCACAGAGGATGCTGGGAAGAAGGCCAGAGGAAGCATGACATTCAAGAGGTAACAGCCACAAGTCACGTGACAGGACATAGAGTAACAAAAATGTGTTAATTTAAGAGCTAATTAGAAACAAGCCTAAGCTATTGATCAAGCTTTCATAATTAATGAGTCTCTGTGCCTTGATCTGGGAGCTGGTTAGTGGGACAGAGAAAGACTCACTACAAATGGCACCTAACATGAGGACACATATTTCCATATAAGACCTAAGAAAGCTTTAAAAATAAGATTCCAAACACACAAAAATGCTGCAAAACACATCATTACAGAGACATATCTCTTGACCACTGCCTGCATGCTTGAGCCACCAGTATACCATACAGATTTTGCTCATACAGACAGCAAAGTTTACAGTTACGCAGCAAAACAGATCCAGACAGGATAAAGACAGTCATAGAAAAAAATAGTTTATAAATACTAAGATAAAGTCTTTAAAGAAAAATGATATAATATTAAAAGGATAAGTCACATAAAATGGAAAATACACAGACAGTCTCAATCATGTATGATATTGTATTAAGTAAATTTTTTGATTACTGGTAAGTAAACAATAACTTCTGAGAGACATTGGATTGTGGAAACTGCTAAATTAAACCAACTTACACATTTTAAAAATGTCTTAACTTTAAAATGGAAGTCAATAGAAAATGAAACACCCTGAATTCATTTAAGGTTTATAGAGATCATATTTGATCAGAGAGACCCCTTGAAAATCCTGGCTACCGTCAAAGAAAGAAACCTAGCAAATTACAAAACAGGCAACACATATTTTACCTGCTCATTTATAAAACAAAAAAAATCATTTTTGGCTGGCTTGTGTAGAATGCACAGTTCATACTTGTGTTAATGCAGTTAAAATGTTACCTTTGAAAGTTTGTGTTGTCAGAGCAAGGGGACCAGACACCAATAAAAACAGGTGGCCTAGGTAGCCTCTCAGAGTGCCTCTCTTGTAGTTTTCTCAGGGTTCTACATACAGAACAGCTTCAAGGCTGCTGGCTGAGATGGTCCAGCCTCAAGACTATTCTAACCAGGGCTACAAAAAAGCATTGCATTTTCCCATTGCACAGAGACTGAACAACGAATGTTAAGGCTAGTTTTCTCAGGACTTGTACATTATCTCAATTTTCTTAGTTTCTATAAAGATGTCATTGCCGCAGCAACAGGAAGAAGTCTAGAGAACACAACATTCATATTCCCAAGAGATGGGGTGGGTGGTTTTGAGTCAGTTGGTGGGTTATGGATGTGTTACATAATTTAGGGGGTTTGGTTACAAAGTTGTTATTGGACATGGTCAAGGAAAAAGCTAGACAAAGGAGAGATTAAAAATCTCTTTCTAAAGGGAAAAGAGATGGGGGATGTAGTGTAGAAATGATTATATAAAATGGTGGATAGCTGAGTCTGCTTTTGAAAAACCAAAAGTCTCAAATATTTTAAATTGGTATGAATTTTTTGTATATTGATACAAATTTAAGGTTACTTTTGTTATACTGTATATATGTTTCTATCTCTTGTTTAAGATATTGTACCTATGTGGCTCATTTTAAATGTAATGTAAAGTTTTAGTCCTTGAAAACTATTTAGGATACTAAATACGGGTTAATAGTCATCTATAACATCAAATTTATAGTCATGTTAGGTATGTTTTCAAGGTCAATAAGAAACATATTTTAAATAGATGGTCATCAAACACTTAAAAAAAATCTACAGAATATGGCATTTAAAATGTGTTAGTAGCATCCGGTATTTCATGACAATGAGACATGTCTGTTCCTGGCAGCACCAATTTACATCAAAAAAGGGTGATAGGCATCAAAGAAAGTTAGCCACTAGGCAAGAAACTCTGCTTGCCTCAATTGCTGACTGTATGCTGTACAAACTGAACAAGCAGGACACAAAGGAAAAAGACTGTTAAACTTTGTCAAGACTAGGCAGGACGATCCTTCAAAATCCCTGCTTCCTATTAGAAAAGTCAGCCAGATATTCTAGGAAGAAGAAGGATGCCCCAAAATTGCAGAGGAACCTTGGGAGACTGCCCTGGGAGCCAAATGTCTGTTATTTCTATATGTCTGGAAGTGGCTTGCACTGCACTTCCTGTTTACTCAGGTAATATTATATCTTTCTTGGTTCTTTGATGGAGTTGAAGACTAGACAGTTACAGTTGTAGTTTCCCTTAGTTATGACAGAAGATAAATTAAGTATAGAACTTTGAACTCACCAAGACAGGATATATAATGGAGTAATTTCTCTGAAATTGCAAAATAAAAATGGCCTAGACATTGTGAATATAATTCTTACATGATAATTGTTCTGTGATAATTCTACT